CGCGCTCTCCTTCCGCCCCCTTCTTACCTCTCACCTTTCTTTCTGCCTGCTTCGCCCCTCCCCGCTCTGGCCTCTCAGTCCCCGCGGGGTCCCGTCCTTTTCCTGCCCAGCTCCCGCACGCACGCTTCCCTCTTCCTCCTCTTTTTCCCAACTCCACCCTCATCCCGCCCTCCCTTGTGCCCCCGGAGCCCCCACGTCCATTCTTCCTCCACCTTCCACTCCAGGTTTTCTGCCGCCCTCCTTCCCAGGCTGTGGGTTTGCCCTTCATCCCTTGCCCTCCTCCCTTCCCTGTCCTGATCTGAACTCCTCACTTTGCCACACTCCCTCACCCTTATCCCTCTGGGCCTATCCTCTTTCACTGCCCTCTCCTTGGATAGAGTGGGTGGGGCCTGGAGTCTCCTGTTTACATCTTTGGGAAGAACTCAGTTCTCTACTACTGGGGGGTGGGGAGAGTTGGTGAAAAGATCGTGAAGAGATTTCCGCCAGCCTCCCCGAATAACGATGGGTGACTCTTACCGACAATTGTCACCTCCACCTGGGATAACAAGACGGCCCGTCCTCAGGACCCTGGCAAACTGTCCAGCAATTCTTCAGCACCATCTTTGCAAAGGATTTGGGAATATGTTTGTGTTCTGAAATCAATGGAGAACCTTGAAATGGTATATCTTGGCCTGAGAGCAAGTTTTGATCTAAATTAGTGATGGAGGAAGTTTTAATGTGTGTCTCAGGTTCAGGTTCAATAAAAACCTTTGATCCTCATTGGCCTCCCTTCTTGGCAATGACGCCAAGGATGAGGTGATTTAGTGCATGGGACCGCCACTGCTGCCTTATGTTTAGATTTTGAAATGTTTTGAATTAAGGAAAGCCTGTTCCTAAGCTTTTTTTTTTCCCTAGAAAGTGCCCCCTTGAGTTGTAGTTTTTCAAAAACCATCTCTTACCTTGGCACTACCTTGATTTTGTTCATTCACTGCACCTGCATTTCCATCTTAGGTACAGGAAGAAGGAATGGAATCGGAAGGAAGAAAATTCATTTCAGAGACAAAATAGCTCCCCTCCTCTGTTATAGCTGTTCCCCTGGCAATACAAACTTTCTGCTTTCAGTGAGTATTACCTTGGACATGCTTAGACTAGAATTTTGTTGCCTTTTTGTTTGTTTTGGTTTGGTTTTAGGCCTGTGCTAGGACTTCAGGATGTAGGTTTACTTTGTTCACTTCTGTTTTTCTACTTCCATGTGGGGGTCCTAATGTTGATGATGTTCCTTCCAATTGCTTTCTTTTAAAATAATGCAAATATGTAAAGACAAGTTTATTTTTCATAATCCCAATAGGGTGACTCAGATGGTGGTGCAGCATTACACTTACCCCTCATGTTTTTAGTACATAAGGTCTGCCTCTTGCCCCTTGCCCAAATTACTCATTTTTTAAGACAAAGATCATAATCCTGAGGTTAATGCAGTTTCTATCAAGGTCAATTATTGGGTGTCTTTTATTTGGTTATAATCTTCAGAGATGTTTGGAACATTTTGCCCTAGATCTGCTGTGGTGATACTGTTTTCTTGAAAATTATTAAAATTCTACACATAAAGTTTTAGAAAAGTTTTTATTACTGCTGTGTCCCTTTGAGTTTATTAATAATGATATGCAAACAATTAATAAACATTGCGTTTGCTAATTATGGTATGCAAACATACCATACCAGTTTTTTCAGAGTGCTTTACATCTTATTGGAGCCTCACAATCCCTCTGTGAGGAAGGCAGGGGACAAATACTTTCATTTTACAAATGAGAGAACCAAGTCCCAGAGAAATCTGGCACCCTGCCATAGCTCACATAGTAAAGGGAGGGGATCTAAAAAGAAAACAAAACTTTGGATTCCTTTTATTAATGTTTTTCTATAAGTTGACATGAAAATGTATAGTTCTGGTATTTTTCTAAATCTATAAATTTTAAAAGCATTGTATAGGTGCGTGTTTTTTGCAGGCAGAATTTGCACATAGCAAATGTTTTGGGTGGATTTGTGTGTGTGTGTGTATGATGGGGTTTCAAAACTGTAGAAGTTATTATTTGAAATGATTACCAGAATGTTTGTGGGGTTTTCATCAGTTTCTTGGAATAGTTCCATAAGTAGGCCAGAATTATAGCTCAGGTGCCATTTCACTACTCATATAATTATTAAATTGAATTTCAGTTCAACTCTGTGTCACAAAGGAAACAGCGGCCTGTTCGCTTCTGTATAAAGCTTGATTTGAATAGACATCTGGATACTGAGTAATAACAGAAGAAAATACAGAGACCCCCTTTTTCTTTGTCCTTTCCTCCCAAATCTGTTTTCTTTGTTATAAGGTCATGTCCCCCAATAGGATGTTTTCAAGCTTGTCTTCTGAAGGTAAATCTAGATTTTTTTCCATCTCCAGGATTTTCTAGATATTTTAATCCAGTTATTGTTGGAAATCTACTTTGGTACAGTAGTTCTTTTGGTACTCAATATATACCAAGATTTCTACAGTGATAGCACATTTAGTAAGTCGGTTTCTTTTCGGTGTATGGTTGTGAGCTTCAGAGAGGACCCGGGTAAAGGAGAGCTGTATACAACTCTCAGCCCAGCATTCCTTTTCTTTTCTGGTGTCTCACAACGACAGGAACATTGGATGATTTATCAGAAGCATGGCTCTCCAAAGAGGAAAAGCATCAAGGTCATTAGATTAATAACCCCATACTAATGATGCCATCTTTAAGTTTACGTGGTAGTTCTTAATAGACTTTTATTATGAGGACATTTATTCCTCTAGAAATTGGAAGAACTCAGAGCTATGTTATTTTCATAACCAGTCCTGCTTTTGTCAGTAGAGGCAGTCTAAGTGTTAGTAATAGCAGAAGCTTTAATGAATGGCAGATCTGTGCCAAAGAACTGTTAGGAGTTTTTCATGTCTTGCTCATCAAATGGTCACAAACCAACCCTCTATATTAGCAGGAGCCCAGGTCCACAGGGATGTGACAGCCCCGCCAAGTGTGCATAGCCAGGACCTGGTGAGCCGGGTTGGGATTTGAGCCCAGACGATAACCCTAAAACCTAGCCTCTGTCCTCTGAAGATGGGAGTTGTTCCAGGAGGGGGTCAGCTTTTGTTCTCAGTGGACTTGGGAGTCCTAGAAGACCCCCAGTGAGGGAGGAAGGCCCTCCCACCCACCCAGCCAGCCAGTCAGTCAGGGCTGCCTCACATCCTCCCCCCAGCTCTGGTCTCCTACCTTGTTTGCAAATATCAGCAATTTATGAGGCGTTTGTATTAACTCCTGAGGCCATAAACTGCCCTCCAGGAAAATATGCTCCAGTGGGTAACTCTTAAAGCCCCCCATCATTCAAAAAGAACAAAAAATTCTTCTCAAGTGCTGTTTAGAACCTAGGTATGGCCTTTCAAAGGAAAGCCATGAGCAACCTAAGATTAAGTAGCACCTGAGCCAAGTCCTGGACTGACCAGTTACCGTGTTTAGCAAAGAAGACAGCTACCAGCATAGATCAAAGCAAGCCGTTAACGTAGGAGATGTTTGACCTGTTTTTTAGAGTGGATTGTCCATGTTGGCTATCCACTCTGCTGTGAATTAAACCATTCCTTGGTTTGAGCTGAGTGGAGTTGACATTGTTGATAAGAATAGATACTTGTAACTCAGTCACTTTCAGCTTCTGACACACAACAGTCAGCACCTCACAGTAGAACCAAGTATCTAAAGATCAGGTTGTGCCATAAATACTCTTTTTTATTAAAAAGGCTAACTTAAATGACATGGCTAGGAGGGCCCTAGGTAAGATTGTCAGTGTGTGGGCACTGTGTTAGGTGTTATGAAAGGAAAAACACAAATGCAGCCCGGCCTCTGACCCTACAGGTGTTGGTGAATTCCATGCTGGCTGCAGTTTAAGAGGCTTTGTGAGCCACCCGGTGGCCCAGATCCACGGAGCCCTGCAAGGCTCCCCCACGGACAGGGCAGAAGAGATGCCTTTGTGGTGGGTTCTAATGAAGGGCTGGACTCCCTGAGTGATGTGGCAGTAGAGGGTGTGATGACTTTGTCACCACTGACAGCAGCTTTATTTGACGCATGCTACATTAAAAGGTCCTAAGAGGTGAAACCATGATTCCTGTGATTTCCTCAAGCTTTTTGTGGAAGTGTGGGTATTGTCTCCATCTGGTGGATATCCAGTTTTAACTCGTTCATTCTCATTGATTGTTCTAAAGTGGACAGACCGTGGGAAAATGAGATCACTACTCTTGGCCCTTAAGTGGCCCTGGGGTTTCGCTTTGAAAGAGTAACCAGCTGAAGTGTTTGAAGGGTCTGAGTGGTATATTCATTTATAAAGTAAAGGCTTTTACCTGATTCCAGTTGTTTCGGTTGAGCTGACTTCACAGTTCATTCAGTTACTCAGACTATGACCCCAGTACCATTGTTGGTAGTTTTTATGAGGTTTAAGGGAAGGGTGAGGACAGATGCACTCAGTTTTAGAAGAGGTAGAATACGTGATTAGGGGTATTTGTTTTTAGCTGGTCAGACAGCAGGTTGGTCTGTTGTACTGAAATGCTGTTACTCTGAGGGCGCTTACACTGTACTCAGAAGCTGAGCTGTTGGAAAAGCAAGTGTGTCTCTGATCATTGTAGGTCCTGGGAGCTGTGGCTGGGACACTTAGTTGTAGTGCAATGCCTAGTTTGTTGGAGTAGGGTTACAAAAATCTCGAACTTAAAGAGAAACTTGGAGAAATTGATGGATAATGTTTGATGTTGGTCCTTACTACAAGCAACTTCACATTCTTTACTGTAGGTCACTTAGTATTTGCTTTATGCTGACAGATCGGTAAATACTGGCCCCCTTAAAAACAAACCTTAAATAAATTCAGTAGGAGGAGGGGAGATGGAGTAAGTAGGATACAGGTAAATTATAAGATTGTCCGTATGTTGAAAATTGTTATAGCTGGATATTGGGTTCATTATACTATTTTACTTAGTTTATGTTTGAAGTTTTCCATAGAGTTACATTCACAGACTAAATTTTTAAAGAAATGCCTTCTAATATATTTTTTGATGCAGAAAGTCTCCTAACTCTGCTTTTGGTCACTAGTTGAGAATATTGATTAAATTGTTGGCTTAGTGGCCTCCAGGGAAAGCCTAGGCCAAAAGAACCACAAAATTTGGGTTGGTTCTGTTGATTACAAATCACAGTTTGGGAAAGTGTGGGGAAATTGTTGAATGTAATCAGTTGATGTCACTTGTGATCAGGCCCCACTCCAGGTCAGTGATTGTATGTGATGTGTAGGCAGAATCTTCCTGGACTGGAGTTCACCTGCCTTGGCATGGTTTGAAAATCATTGATAATACCTGCAGAGGAACACCTGCTTGTCACCATCTCATGACATGTAGCTCTTCTTCAGGTGTGCTTTGGTGTAAGAACTAGGAAAGCTTTCTTTTTTTAACCTTTGTATTTCATCCCTTCTCTTTGCTTCTTTGAATTCTGAGGCTCTCTAGAGGCAGAATCCCAGGGCCCTGTTGGTGCTCTTAAAACTCTAGCCCTTGAGAGGTGGTCCTGCTGCTTCAGTCGTCTTATGCCTTAAAGCCCGGCCAATGGTTGTGCACAAGGTAGGAAGTCACGGAAGAGCTCAGAGGGCAGTGGCATTCTTCTGGACTGACAGCGGAGGGGGAGTGGTAACTGTCAGGGTGATGGCGGAGATGTTGTCTTTGGGCTTCGGTTTTGATTTTTTTTTTTTCTGCTCCATTTTTGTTGACAAGATTTTGTAAACTCTTAGGTTGGTTTTTAGTACACTCTTGATTTTTTTTTTTAATCATGCTGTTAGGAAAGGGACTGAATCCAGTGCGTATTGTTGGCAGGCCTCATTCTTTGTAGCTTGGTGGGAAGACCCAGGCCTTAGAGTCTGACAGATAGATTGTGGCCCAAATCCTGGCACTGCCACTTAGAGGCAGTCTGGCTCTGGGCAGATTATCTTGTTAATCCTGAGGTTCCTCCTTTGTGAAATGATGGTAACACCGTCTGCCTTGCTGAGTGGTTTGGAGGAGTCCGTGAAATCCTGTTTAAAGAGCACCTGTCGGTGCAAGCACTGCTCTAAGCCCCGAGTGCACAGCGAAGTCCTGGCCCTCCGGGAGTTTCCAGATGGTAAGAGAGGAGTACCTGACGCCGAATGAAGCCTGACATCCAGTAACTCCATTCTCTTAACCACCTGTGGGGCAAGTACTATTGTTATTTTCATTTGGCGGAAACAGAGGGAGAGAGAGGTTAATCCTGGAGGAATTAGGATTTGAACCCAGGCCATTGGGCTCTGGAGTCAGCATTTTTAACCATGACATTCTGCTCCCTCTCTTAACAGTCTAAACAAGACAAGGACATCCACGCTCAGAAACAATCTAGTCATTGGTGGTTTTATTGTGTATGTGCATACGGCTTTCTCAAAAAAAGAAGCCCCGTTTCAAGCCAGACATTGAAGTGTTCAAGCTGTTGTTCGTCTGCTAGAGACAACTTTCACCCCCTCAGAATCTCCTGAGTACAAAACCGTGTGCTTCGTGATGGACCAGCACGTATCAGGAGCACAAGCACAAAAACTTGTGAAGTTTTTATATCTCATTCAGCCTCAAGTGACAGGTTGTTTTTGTAGAAATAATGGCATTGCAAATGGGTACGTAAATACCTGATTTGAAAGATGGTAGAATTTGCAGCCAGAATACTGTGTTGCAGAGCAGTGCCTGAAAAGGCACTTACGTGTTGTGTGTTCAACTCAAAAGAAAACTTTTAGGTAGGACTTACACACACACACACACATCTAATGTTGCGTGGGATGCTAAAGCTAACGTGTAATGACTTGAGAAGACACAAAAACATACTTTTCTCAGGTCAGCAGGATGTTACCAAGGTTGGTATCACCGACACTGACATAAAACTTTGGATCTGTTTGCCTCCCCCTGTTGATCACTGAAGCAGATGACAGGGAAAGGATCTGGGTCATTGTAGCCACATATCTTCACCTTAGGCTTTTTAAGAAAAAAAATTCATGAAAGAAGTTTGCTCCCTCCCCATCACGTTGTCAGCTGGGCCTCTGGTTTCCTGGCCCATCTGCCGGCCCATTTTGTGGCATTGGGTGGCTCTGTGTCTGACCGCCTGTGTGACAGGGCAGACAGGGCTACCTCACAAAAGGACTGTGAAGCCGGGGCCATCTATGGGAACACAGGTTTCCACTGGGCTGTGGCTGGTGTTGAATGGGGTCTTGAAAGGCTGGGAGGGTAGGAGTCGGAACAGATTGAGAGGAGAGGCAGAGAGGATGAGCGGGACTGTGACCATGGGGGGCCAGGGGCTGGGCTGGGAGCCGGGCTGGGAGGGATGCCGGCAGCACAGAGGTCCAGCCACTCGCAGCTGGAGGTTAGTGTGGAGGCAGGCAGAGAGGACGGGTAAGGAGAAGCATGGAAGCTCTTCTGGGGTTCTGTAGAAATAGGGTGATTCAATTTGGAGCCTCCAGAAAGCATCCTGATGAAGGGTGTGTCTGGCCAGCTGCCATCTCCCACATCTCCCAGCCCCGAAACGGCCCCTTCAGCTTCACACTGGCTTCCTCCCATCTCATTTTGCCCCAGGGGTCCTGGGCAAGAGGGGGCTGCGTGTTGCCAGCCTCCGTCCACAGTGATCCCAAACTTTATGGGAAATAAAACCAGTTCCCCTCAGGAAAGGTCAGGAACCCCGGGCTGGAACCCATGGTCCCTTCCAGCCCTGCTGGTTGGCGGCCCTTTGTGACCAGCGTACCCTGGGTCAGAGAGAGTCTACCGGCTCCTGCCCTTCCAGGGAGATGCCTCCCCTCTGGTGTTTATGTCCCCTCCTCACCAGCCCTTGAATGAATGCTTGCCTGTTCTCTCTTGGGCTAGGGTTCTGCAGCATCCCAGACCTCAAGCACGGAATCAGGATGGGAAAGAGACGCTGTGTTCCTCCCCTCGAGCCCAAGCTGGCAGCGGGCTGTTGTGGGGTCAAGAAGCCTAAGTTGTCTGGAAGTGGAGCGCACAGCCACGGGAACCAGTCCGCCACTGTCCCCGGCTCGAGTTCAGGACCTCTTCAAAACCACCAGCATGTGGACAGCAGCAGTGGGCGGGAGAATGTGTCGGACTTAACTCTGGGACCCGGAAACTCTCCCATTACACGAATGAATCCCGCATCGGGAGCGCTGAGCCCTCTCCCCCGGCCCAATGGAACTGCCAACACCGCCAAGAACCTGGTGGTGACCGCAGAGATGTGCTGCTACTGCTTTGACGTCCTCTACTGTCACCTCTATGGCTTCCCACAGCCACGGCTCCCTAGATTCACCAACGACCCCTAGTGAGTAAGCCGGCCATGCGCAGGGGACGGTGAGAAAGGCACGGTGGTGTCTTCCTGCGATCGTTCTCTTGAGACGGTCGCTACATATAAAAAGCTTTCACACGATTTGGGCAAAGGGTAATGGGAATAGGATGATGAGACATGTCCAGACAGCACCTGGACATGCAGCGGGTTCAGTAACAACCAAAGCCGTGTTCGTGGGAGCCATGGTCTTGTTGCCGTCACGGTCTGGGCATCAGCAGAGCGGTGTTCTTGGTCTGCTGTTGGTTTGTGTGGCGGCGGGTAGGCCGGTGCCTCTCCAGTGGACACATCACACTGTCATGGACCCAGCACTGTTGAAGTCCAGGTGGACCACAAGTGGCTGAGGGCCAGACTGGAGACCGGGCGCCGTGATGCTTGCAGTCAGGGTCCCCAGGCCTGTGGGACTGCCAGCACCTCACCCAGTGTCAGGATCTGCTTTACTGTTCTTAGTTCAGGATTCTGTTGTTTGTCCCAGGCCCCCTCAAGGTGCCAACGACTTAAATAAGGAATATGCATAAAGGGAAGAGTAGGGTGAAGAAACTCATGCCAGTGTTGTCTTTGTCAGAACTGGAAGCAGCTGTGAGCTGGCTCTAAGGAGCACTGCCACCTTTTTTTTGGTGGAGGGGAGGTAATTAGGTTTATTTATTTATTATTTCTTGCACTGGGGATTGAACCCAGGACCTCGTGCATGTTAAGCATGCGCTTTACCACTGAGCTGTACCCTCCCCCCCCTTTTAAATTTTTATTATTTTAGGAGTGGCTTTTACAGCTTTCACTGACTGGCCATTCACTCCTCAGCTGTTGGTGCCACACTGAGGCGGTGCACGGCCCCCGGGCAGGGAATAGGGGAGTGTGAAGAGAAAGTCCTTGCTCTGGGGAGACTTGTTGAGTTGGCCAAGCACTCACAGAAGCTGAACAGTGTGTGTGGCACCCTGTCTGGGCAGAGGCAAAGGGGAAGTGACTCCTGGGGTTGTGTCACAGGAGAGAAGTGGGGAAAGATGTGCTGACTGGGGAGGTGTGCCGTGGAAGACTGTTCAGAACAGCTCTGCCTGAGTCGGTTGAGCGTCTGAGCCTGCATCCGTGGACTCAGGTGTGTCCCTTGCAGGAGGAGCAGGGGCTGGCCGCAGCCTTGGAGGCAGTGGAGATGGTGGGATTCGAGTCCATTTTGGAACGTTGACGTTGGCTGGTGTGTTCAGGTGTTTTGTTAGAAGGAAAAGATGAGCAGGTGGGAGATGGGCTTTGTGATGACGATCGAAGAAGTTAGGTAACTTGACAGTTGTAGCTGCTTTTTAAGAAGTGTTGACTCAAGAATCTAAGAGGTAAGGGCATGGAGGAATTTCAGGAAGAAGGGACAGCCCTCTGACCTCTTTCTAAATAACCTGTCACTGCCAACCTGATGTAGCCTAGTGAAGCAGGACTTTGGCCCAGAAAGTAGTAACTTCTGCAATAATAAGCTTTCCTGAGGAGATGTGTTTTTTGTGTTTTGTTTTTTTCAGTTTTTTCTGGACATTATGAGCAGGAGATATTTGTAGTTGGCGGAGGCAGGAGAAATATGGGATCAGTGTGGGGTTGCAGGGAATGCTTGCAGATGAGGAGGAGCAGGTGTCTTCCCGAAGGACGGAACTGGGGACGTGGACACGTGAAGAGAGTACAGAGGAGGAGGAGGACGTGGAGGACTCGTGGAGAACAAGTGGAGTCCCGGGCCGAGGACCAGGAGGGAAGTACCCACCTGTGATGTCAGAGCGGGGCGGAGCTGTGAGCAGGGCCCACAGGCCAGGCCGCTCAGAGCCTTCCTCGCTGGGCTGTGGTCCGTCTCCAACCCGGGGCCGCGCCCTGGAAGGCAGAGGGTGTCCCGAGCCAGCATCAGAGAACCACCCTTCTTGGGAGTAACGGAAATGAACAGGGGTAAAGCCAAGGTTTTGTTCTTACCGGGATTGTCCTGCGTTTGCTCTTTCAGCCCGCTCTTTGTGACGTGGAAGACAGGGCGGGACAAGCGGCTTCGTGGCTGCATCGGGACCTTCTCAGCCATGAACCTTCATTCAGGACTCAGGGAATACACGCTAACCAGGTAACGGCCCCTCCCGGCAGGTTTGTAGGTGATGGGCTAAAACAGAACAGCTGCCCGCCTGCCTGCACTTCTTCTGAGTGATAGAGTTGGCGTGTTCTCTCTCTGATAATCAGGAGATGTGGGGGCTGTACTCGGGTGAGTCACAGATCAGTTGAAGTAGAGACAGTTAAGAGCATCAGGCTGTTTCTGGCGGATTCGTGTTGATGGATAATGGCTGTTTTCTGCACAGCTCAAGATTCGGAAATGTTCGGGCTGATGATGTTGGCTCCAGCGCCAGGGCAGCCTCACTTATGTTTTCTGTCCCCTCCAGTGCACTTAAGGACAGCCGATTTCCCCCCCTGACCCGAGAGGAGCTGCCTAAACTTTTCTGCTCTGTCTCCCTCCTTACTAACTTTGAGGATGCCAGTGATTACCTGGACTGGGAGGTGAGAACAGCCGCATTTGGAACTCTGCATCTCTCGTTGCATTTGGGTTCGGGTTAGTACATGGTAATGTACCTCCTTCATTGAGACAGGGTATGACAGAGGGGAAGCTGAGTCTGGAAGTAGTTGTAGGCAGCTTGGGTGACAGAAAAGGCACTGTGATGTTAGGAGTAGGAAGAAATGTGAAGGCTTTCTGTCCCCACCCCCACCCCCAGTCTGCTCTGTTGCACAGCCTTCTCCCGTGTCTAATGAGAAGTGATAATGGGGATAAAGGAGAGTATTCCAGGTCCTTCTTGGTAAGCCTTGACTGAAAGGTGTTATCAGGAGCCACATGTGAAGAGTCAGGAACCCAGATGGAAACCCTGTGGTGTAGGTTTTTAATGGAATAGATGAAAGGTAGAATGTTGAGGATTATTGGATGAGCTGTGGTGGCCGCGGCTAGACTCACACAGCCCTCAGGCTGCAGTCTCTCTGGCGTGTGGACCTGAGGGAGAGTCAGTCGTGGAAAGCATGAGGCTCTCCTCGTCTCAGACCTGGGGCAGCGGTCAGGGGCAGTGTCAATTTCTGTGTGGATGATGGGCATCCCATTAGAGTAAGTAAATGCCATTTATTTGGTTGTGTTTTTTGTAGGTAGGGGTTCATGGGATTCGAATTGAATTCATCAATGAGAAAGGCGTCAAACGTACAGCCACGTATTTACCTGAGGTTGCAAAGGAACAGGGTGAGTTCGATGGGGGGGTGGTTCTGCAGACGGTTCTGGTCGAGTGCTGCCAGGAGGAGGGTGGGGGGAGGAGTGTGCTCCCTTCCCCCCGGCCCTGACCAAGGACGAGCTCCTCCTTCCTCTTCAAGTCAAATGAGAAATAAACGCCCCAAAGTTGTGGGAGCCGGGGAACGAGAAGAGACGGAGAGCTCCCTGACACAGCTGCTGGCCTCTCTCACTGTAGTGAGGGCTGCATCCTGGCCCCCAGAGCTGCAGCGGTTACTGTAGGGAAATTGCAGCAGCCAGCTCAACCATATTGCAGGGTTCACTGTAAAGGGAAGCTGCCCATATTAGCGGGCTTTGAACTTTCAGTCATAAATTATTACACAGTGTTATAATTGGGAAAATGCAAAACGTAATCTGTCCTGGGTTTTGTTGTCATCTTTTTTTTAAAAAAAAACTGAGGGGTTACTGAATTCTAACAGTGGGACGTTAAAGACAGGAAGTGGATGGGCAGGCGTTCTCTTTCAAGGAATATTTAGAAAAGTACTTTAAAATGCTGCTTCTTTACTCTGCGATGAGCAACCCAGTTTTCTTTCTTTTTTGGAAAATAACATGTTTCTGTTGGGTGTGAATCTGGAACAGAGAATGATGTCCAGTTTGGTGCATCGGTGAATGGACGGTCTGGAGGGTGGCTGCCTTGTTGGTTTCCATCGTGGTTGTGTTTAAACTCTGCCAGAATTAGAAGAGGGCATGGCATAAAAGGAAGCCTGGCTGCCCCTTTGAAATCATAAACCTGACGTTTCTGTACAAGGAGGCATACCAGGGGTATTTTCTAATGTGAGATGTGATGATAACTTAAGTAGATAGTCAGATTCCTCTTGCCATTTGAAAATTAGAAACATTAAAATCGGGGCACCTAGTGCAGTAGTTTAGGGGGTTCCCTTGGTTTTCAGTGTGGCATATTTGGTTTTATCTGAAAATCTGCAAGAACAACACAGCAGTATATGTGTGGACTACTTTCCCATCCTTCCTAAAGGTGTCCGTGTGCAGGAGCATGAGCTGCAGGGTCTGAATTCTTTTCCCCTAGAACAGCCCAGGTGGCAGCTCTAGGCCAGCGGGCTGGTCTGAGGTGGGACCGTGTTTGTTCCTAGACAGTTGTGCTGGAGTCACACATGACAGGAAAGACTTGGGAGCAGGGCCTGGGGACGGCCACTGATGGGTGTCCGGGGCGGTGTCTGCCATCTTGAGTTCCCCTTGGAACGACTGCCAGTGAGGCCGGTGGGCTCAGGACACGGGGCTGGTGCCCAGGGCTTCCAAAGCCCCAGCGAACCTGGCTGCTTCTCTGTCCGTGTTAGAGCGGGTCCATTCTTGTCAGTGTGTGCTGACCTCCGCGTGCATCTTTCCCCTCAGACTGGGATCAGATTCAGACGATAGACTCCTTGCTCAGGAAAGGTGGCTTTAAGGCTCCCATCACCAGTGAATTCAGAAAAACCATCAAACTCACCAGGTAAGCCACTGTTTCATTTTCCTTGTCAGCTTAATTTAGTTGGGATTGGATGGAGGGGACTTTTGATAGAAAGGGGAAGAAAAAATTTTTCTTCGCTTATGTCTCTAAGCCAGAGAAGCATGGGTGAAGTGTAAGCTCTGAGGTTTATGCATCCTGGGCATCTGCACAGCTAAGCTGCTAGCAGAGCGGGAGCAGAGCATGCTGCCGAGCTCTCGGGGTGTCTGTGTCGGGCCCACGATCGGGAGGCTGAGGGGGGACTGGAGGCAGGAGAGAAGGCTCTTGGTGCAGAAATCCATGAGCAGTTGAAGCCACATGCAGTCAAGTGGCATGTTGCTGGAATAGTCAGAAACTGGTTTTTACAGAGTTAGGAGGAAATGCCTCTGCCTGTTTGGGGCGAATACCTCTGTGGGGAGGCTGCCTGGTGTAGTAAAGTGTGCGTGGATTTGGGGTCTGAATCCCAGCTCCACCACTCCCCAGCTGTGTGACCTGGGCCAGCTGTTCTGCCTCTCTGAGTGGAAAAAAAAATTTCCTGTCTGTAAGAGGTAAATGAGAATGCCTTGGGGTGTCGAGGGTGTGGTAAGGTAAGGAGTTCTGGTCCAGGGCCAAGCAGTATTGTAGGTGGTCAGCAGACGCCAGTTCTCTTCCCATCTCTGTTGAAATTGGAAACGTGGAGAGGTTTAACTTCTGTGGGTTTCTGTGGGCCTCTGTTGGCCTTCTCATCTGTAAAATGCTGAATAATCATACAGTAACCTCACAGGTCTATTTGGAAGATAACCCAGTGTTTTTGAAATGCTTTGGATTCCAAAAAGAAAAAAGAAAGAATTCTTCAAATACAAAGCATTATTATTATTATTATTATTATAATTTATTTGAACAGCCATTTCCCTGTCAAAATTCAGGAATAATCACCTTGCAGTGGAGGAGAGATTACAGTGGGAAAGAGATGGCTCTGGGTAAGGATTGTCACGCCCAGCTCCTGTGGTCTGTAGCAGGCTCCATAGGTCTGTGACGCCCCATGCTTCGCATCCTGACTCATGGCTCTCTCCAGAGCAAAGCCGAAGTGCTATGATTCTGTCCTGATGACCCTGTGATATGATACGGCACATTCATCGGGGAAGCGACCCCATCCTGTGTAGCCCCAGGATTTTTTAACCTGCTTCACCAGAATTTGACCCAGAATTAGGTATCTGTGCCCCTTTTTAGTTATAAATAACTTGTTTGTTGCTTTTCTGCAAGTTGAGGTTGCCTTCTGTCAAATTTATCATGTTTGAACCTGAAAGTAGATACGCATTTTACACTGGGCATCGGTGCAGCCATCTTCCAATCTGCCACCCGTGTAATCTGACCTTGAAACTCTTCATCCAGACCCCGGTAGCAGATTGCTTAAAAGCAGCCTGATGATAAGCATATGCAGTGTTTAAAGGTGGGACGTGCAGAAAACACATCCTCGGGTGAATTGTGATCGTGCTTTTTCATCTTGTTCATTTGTAATAACAACACTGTTTTCTCGTGCTGTCATTCATTTTCTGTAAGTAAGGTTGCTCTTGGTCTTCCATTTTATTCTTTCAAAATGTGGAGTAAGCTTTTGGTTTTCTCTGCTGAGTGACTACAAACTGAAGTGTTCTGGGTTCCTAATACCCTTCCCTGTTTCCTTGCACAGGTACCGGAGCGAGAAGGTGACAATCAGTTATGCAGAGTATATTGCTTCCCGCCAGCACTGTTTCCAGAACGGCACTCTTCATGCCCCTCCCCTCTACAATCATTACTCCTGACACACGGCTGCATGACCAGTCCCACCCCGCCGTGGCCACCAATGGCTATGACATCATTGGAGCAGATGCCTCCTCTTCCTGGTCCAGTTACTTCTATTACTGCACCATTTTATGATGCTAGCTTCCGTTGCCAAGTCTGCCTCCAGCCGACTGAGGAGGGGGGCGGGGTTATATTGAAAGAAACAGAACTTGAGGGGCCCAAGCCTTATCTCAGCCTTTCCTCAATATGGGTTCCGTTGGATTGGGGCTCCTCCATGACTAGAGAGAATGCCGTGTGGGTTCAGAAGACCCTTGGGGTGCAGGTGCCGCTGGTGATCTGCTGCCGGTGTGTTGGCCACAACAGTGGAAGCTGGAATTGACGGTCCGAGAAGGCTCACCCCACACACAGCCCTGCGGCCTCCCCAGATCAAGTAGGTGTATTCCCCTGGCAGTCTGGGCAACGGAGACCAACAAGAAACATTTTTAGGTTGTTTTAAATTCCTTTTTTTAAACTTCCAGTTTATTGCGTACCAAGAGTTGATCACAACCTCCACGCTTCATAAGTGGACGCCATGTTAGGGTTGACCGTGGGCGCCATGAGTCCTCTGGGCTCCTGGACAGAGACCCACATCAAGATCGGAGGCCCTGGGGATGGCGTTGCAGATCTCATCGCTCAGTTAGCCTCGAAGGTTTTAATTCTCATCCCACTGTCAGTTGGATTTTCTGGCACTCTCCCTGCATTGAGTCTCCTGGCACTGAACACAGCTCCGTGGCGTAGCCTGCTGAGGAACGGACTGGGATGCCCACGGGAGGGCCCAACGGCATCGCAGCATGCAGGGTCAAAGGAGAGGCCTCTTCCTTACCACCCGGCTACCTCACTCCTCCACTGGTAGCAGTGCCTACAGCTGGATCTAGGTTCTCAGAAGGCAGAGATGTTCAAACAAGCACTCGGGTTGGGCTCTAGAAGGACACGTCGTCATAGGAGAGAATCCAGGGTCTCCAAGCTGTTGTTCTTTTCAGGCAAACGTCCTGAGGGACCTTTAATAAGAGAAGTTCCTTTCTGTCGTTTGCCTGTAGATGTGGGAAGACTGTTGCTGTTTCAGTCCTATACAGGACTTTAGAACAAAGCTGTGTAATTAATTAAACAAGGTGAATCTTTATCTTGCCTAACATGCTGGGAATCTTCACCCCACCATGGCAAAGTTCCAAATAGCTCATCTTATTCTAGGTCATTCATACTTTCACGTGGCATATCCCCCTTTCCCGTTGTTGCTGATTCCGAGTAGCTGTTGGCAAGTTTCTCCTCCCTCCTGCCTGTTCTTCACTCATATGGTAGCAGAGTTCATAGAAGTTGGGGACTTGGAAGATGCTTTGAAAGCATTGTCACAGAGGCACTGCTGAAATGAGTCACAGGAAAAGGTGGCCAGTTGGAGGCAAGGACCCTGAGGGTGGTAACACTGGTTTTCAGCAACATGCTTAGAGAACTCTTGGAGTGGATTGGGGTCAACCCGGTGAACAACAGTGTTTTGATTTAATTTATTTTTAAAGTTTATGTGGTGGTGTGGCTTTCTGAAATGGGCAGATATTTACGTGAAAAGATCTTTTGTGTTTCTTCTGCCAGGAGTGGGGGAGGGGAGCAGGGACACGGTCTCTGCTAAGCACAGCTATCTCATTTCTTGAAGAGGTGGGTGAGGGTGAGCAGGCGTGCTCGGCACTGTCTCTGGGAGGAGGTGGGCCGAGCTGGGGTGGGTGTAGGCCGATCCTCAGCTGTGCGGGCCGAGTCCCACCACGTTCCCCTTGTAGTAGTCATGAAAACAGGCTTTTGAAGACGAAAGGGTTGTTTTATGATTTCCTGCTGCTGAGAATAATAAATGCCTGGTTACAAACATGTAACAACAGTACTCTTAGGTGCCATGGATTGATGTCAGGGTGGCCAGCTCTGGACTAAACCACCCACCTCCAATTTGTACAACAGTATTGATACATAGGGCTACACTCATTACTGTTCATGTCTTCTACGTTAAAAGTTGTGTTTAATTTCTAAAGTTTAAAAAAAGCAAAAAAATTGGTGCTAAACTTTCACCCCGAGCTCAGTGAGACTGGTCATGCAAGCATTTTCAGTGCCATGCTCTTGCAAGCCTATTTTTTTCTTGTAGAAATGTTGCCCTATTTGTCTTCCCCAGTGTATAGTATGTTTTTTTATTTTATTGAGGGTAGGGTAGGATACCTGCCATTTAAGAAAATGAATAGAAAATTTTAAAACCCAGGAAATGGGGAAAAAAAATCAGTGCACAAGAATCGGGCTAGTTAAGCCCAGCACCACGCTGAAGTGGGCGCAGTGGTTTTTGGAGTGAAGAAGCCTTACTCCCTGCACATTCCCTCGTGCTCCCATCCAAGTCCAGCAGTGGAGATGCTCGAGTCCCTCTCGCCTTGGCAGGGGACTCAGGAGTCGACCAAGGAATAGTCTTTGGCCCTGGGAGGAGTGGCACAGTCAGTGTCTGTCCTGAATGGAGCCTAGTCAGGAGGCGGTCTGGAAGCATACAGTCACGATCACCTCCTGAAGACGTGTGGCAGATGGCTCTCAGGAAAAATACTAAGTCTGGATCATCCATGTGGCAGCTTTGCATAGGGAGATGATGGCTCCGAACTGGAAGTGCACTGCCTTCCACGCACCCAACCAGAGCAGTGAGGCGGATGGCCGGTACCCGTGGGGTGGGCGGTAGGTTTACAGGGAAGGGAATGTTCTCTGCTCGGTGTTTCCTTTGTCCTTGGGCTGCTCAGGCTGGACAGCAGGTAACCACTGTTTTCACGGATACAGCCGAACTTGGCTGGTTTGGTTCGGAGTTCGTTTGATCCCTAGCTGTGAGTGCCTTTTGGTCTGGAAAGTTGGCTTGTCTCATAATACCCACAGCTGGGACATTGTCTCCATAGTTGCGAATTGTCCTCGTTTTACATTAACTGAAAGAGAATGTCTTTGATCACTAGAGTTTGTCGGTGTTGGGTTGTTTCCACCGTGAGGTTCTTCAACTTTATCGCTTCATAATATTAAAGCAACTCATGTTAGAGACTCTTTCAATACGAAAGGTTTGTAGTTGAGACATTACATGTATTTTATTGTTTATAATAAAAATCATCTATACAGAAGTCCTGGGTGTTAATATTTGCACAAGATCTGTTTTCCATGATATGTTAACACCTACAGTTTCACCAATTGTTGATGTTATTTTCTATTGAGATTCTGGAGCCTAGGGAGATATATGTTCTTTCTGTTTACTTTTGTTCTTATTTCCCTGAAGCAAGAGACTTTGTATGGCCTTCAGTGCAAAGACTTCAGACCAATTCTTTGTATTACACTTGGTTGCCTCTTGGCTATATAACTTCTGAGTGCAAATCATTGAACTCTTTAACAAAATATTGTAGAGAATAAATCATAATGGGTAAAACTTGTTCTTTGTCTTGCCTCTTGTTTTTCGTGTCTTTTGTGGGGAGGGGTGGAGCATAGTAGCAATAGTCATTTTTTGAAGGCAGCCAACCAGATAGTATTTATTCAGTCTGCATGTTTTGTGTGGTGTTCATGACCTCCAGTACCCTTGCACTGCTACATTTGTTTGTGGTTGGTAGCAATGCCACTGGTTTTCTTAGAGCCAAGTTTTCTGAACTAAGGTTTGTGAACCCTTTAAATTTTGGATTTTTCTAGAAAGAAGGTTCATAGTTCTCAGGTTTTCCAGTGAAACCAACCTTCCCCAGAAAGCTACAACTTGAAGGGGGGTCAGGGGGAAGATGCTCAAATTTAAGGTATCATTTGCTGAGGTTATTTAGAACAAAGACCCTGGGACATTGGTGTGGTCTGACCTAAAGGAAAATATTTCTTGCTTATGGATGGCCCAGACAGGATGAGGTATGCTTGGAGGAAATGGCAAGGAATAATTTTTCAAACAATAGAAATGTTCTTACGCTGATATTGTCAGCCTTCAGTTTAAATGTTTATTCACAGGGATGTAAACTTTTTTTTTAAGACAACCAGTTCAACCAGTTCTGAGGCCCTTACACTTGGTATACATTGTCGAGGTTAAATGATAATTTTGGAAATAGATTACAAACAACTGGTTAAGCACTGACTTTGGTAATAACTTGGATGTGTGAGAGGAATTGTTTCTTAAGAGAAATTATGTGGTTTTAGAGATTAGTATTCCATATTTTTAAAAACAAAACAAAACATGGAATTCCGTATCTGTATGTTTTGTGGTTTTCGTTTTGGGTTTTTTTTTTTTTTTTTGGTGGTGATAAAATACATATAACAAAATTTGCCATTTTAACCATTCCTATTGTCCAAAATGAAAAGCCATGTGGTCAGTGATCAGTGGTCTAATACTTGTGAATGAGGGTGGGGGAGGTGCTCTAAAGCTGCTTCCAGATCAGTCTAGGGTCTGTGACCTTGGCTTGAATATCTGCCTTTGATTGGGCAGGCTGAAGGACTGACTGAACCCTCAGCGTGCAAAGAACCATAGTAGCATCCTGAGGAACATCATGACCTTTCTGTAGCCTTCTATATCGCTCATCCCACTTGCTACTTTGTCTTTTATGATGGAATATAAGTCCAGATCTTACATCAACTACTCTTAGTGAGCTCTTTTGGGGAGCAGCTCTATGACTGAGTCATCTTTTTAACTCCAGGGCCCTGCATGTGTTTATATAATGGCTTCCTGAATGAAAAATGTGTACAAACCAAACACTGTATATGTTATTTGCTATTCTCCTTTCTTCTCTTCACCTCCTGACTTGTCTCCCGCTGTGTGTGCACAGAAGATATTAAGTGCTGGGTATCTGGCTAGGCCTTGGGCCAGCCCGTGGTAAGGCCTAGTATGTAGTAGGTTCTCTGTAAAGGTCTGTTGGGTGGGTAGATGGAAGAAAGAGGTCGACACTGAGTCCCAGGACCGTCCTGTGATACCACACCCAGCTGTGGCATCATCAGGAGGGCAGTCTGCAGCTCTGATGAACTGTGGAGTAAAGCACTTTGAAGAAGTGATAAACTCTGCCAATACTATAAAACCTACCATTATTTTACTGAATGCATTTCTAGAAACGCAGATACAGTGCAAATTAACTTTGTAAAAATTATATTTATAAATCAATACTGGTACATATTCTTGTCTGGTTATATCTCAGTTCATTTTTTGTTAACAGAGTTTGCATAATACCTAAACACTGTTCACTGCTGAGCCAAATAGTGCACTATGATTATTTCCTTTATGGTATAACCATCTGTTTTCTCTCAAGTTGGAAACAGAATCGTTTCTTATTTGCATACTTTTCGAAGTATCATCCAATTGTTCCAACAGGCCTCCCAATATCACTACCTACATGATCAGAAGTATTATAATAATCCAATACAAATCAAAATTTTTCTATGTTTAAGACACTAGAATAAATTCTGATGTTTTCCGAGTCGCTTACCCACCTTTCCATCAGAGGGAGTTGCTTGGGTCAGACAGCGCGTTTCTGCATCTCATCAACCCTTCTGCCGCCCTGGAAAGCAGGTATCCTCATCCACGCTTCACAGGTGAGTTCACTGAGCTCAGAAAGGCCAAGTGACCAGTCCCCACGAGGCCCGGCAAGGGGCGTATTGGAGAAGAGAAGGATGGTTTCTCCCGACAGGGTCAGCGCAGGACACCCCTTGGAGACGGAGTTAACTCTGGGACCCCGAGTTTCCGGCCCGCGGATGTCTCCTCCGGGTCCCGCCCACTACCGGGCCCGCCCATCCCCAATGGGGCCACGCCCCTGATTCCAAGGCCACGCCCTTTCCGTGGCCACAACGCTTCCGCTTCCGGCGGTGTCCGCTGCTGTGCGCGGGAAGGTGATGGCGGCGGGTGGCAGTGACCCGCGGGCTGGCGATGTAGAGGAGGACGCCTCACAGCTCATCTTTCCCAAAGGTGCGGCCTGGGGCTCCCTGACTGTCCCCGTTGTCCCATGTGGTCGCCGCAGACCTTGCTGCGGCGGGCCGGCGCGGAGAAGGGCAGGGAGGAGGGGGCTGCGGGCCGGGGAGGGGCCTGAGTCCACACCTGCGGCTCCGGGGCCCCCGGCCGCCGACCCCTCACCGGCCCCTTGCTCCTGTTTAAGTAGTTTGTTTTATCTGATAAACTGGAAAGTGTTGAAGGGATGTGTCAGAGATAAAGGGGGTACTGAAATGGTAAGGACAGATTTAATCAGTAGTATACTGTTGCCATGGAGGAAAGAGTCCAGGGGTGACTGGGCGTTTTAAAGGGAGAATGAAGGGGTGAGGGTATGGCGCAGTGGTAGAGCGCGTGCTTAGCATGCACGAGGTCCTGGGTTCAATCCCTACCAAACAAATAAACCTAATTACCTCTTCCTCTCAAAAAATCTTTTTTAAAAAAATAATAGGAGAATGAAGGAATAGGGGGTGAGTGAGCAGGTGCTCAGTAGGATCAGGGATGTGAGTACGAAAAGCAGGAAGGGGATGGGGGGATTGGTCTATTGAAACCCATCTGGATTTGTTAACAGCCGCTTTTGGGAATTAGGCTCCTACCCTCTTCCTCCCTCCTCCCCACTCCGGTCCAGACTGGGAGAAAGGGGCCCTTTCTTCAGGTATTGGCTGGAACAAACGAGTAAATGATTCCGGCAGCCTTCAGTTTTCTTAGAAAGCCACCTTAACGGAGCTAGAATCGTCCCAGGAATGCAGCCTTGAGCTGTTAGAAATCATGTTAATGTTTTGTTCACGTCTTTATGGGCCATAATTGCTCAGAGGAGCCTGCTATATCATGGAACTCCCTCTGTGCAGCGTGATGTACTAATTTGTAATTTAGAAACGCAAAATAAGTAGAAAGCTTAAGATTTTAGAATACCGAGGGAATGCTCAATGGTAGAGCGCATGCTTAGCATGCAGGAGGTCCTGGGTTCAAATAAATAAATAAACAAACCAGATTACCTCCCACGGAAAAAAACAAGCAAAATGATTTTAGTTCAGTATCTTACAGGTACTGAAAAACGCAAAGTAAGTGAGGGAAAACGTAACAGTACCTTTTACTCCTTTTTAAAAGATTGCTATATCCACGGTAAAACGGAAATTCCACACCCTTTCACTTAAAGGAAACTAAACACTTAAGTGCTTATTCTTGAAATTAATTTTATGCTCACTTATAAATATGTGCATACACTTTTTTCTTTGCAAAAACAGGATTATGCTATAGAAATCATACAGCTTTTTAAAAATTTTGACATGTTGTATAGAACTGTTCTGTTTCTTTTAAAGGGCTAGATAGTACTTAATGGTTGTCCTATAATGTATTGATAGATACATGGTTGCTTCCAGTAGTTTATTTCAGACTCAAGGTCAAACATTTTCATAGGATGGCTTCATGGAAGTTTTGGGCATAATGGAAATATGTTTGTTTTCTTTTTTTTAAGGTGTAATTACTAAGAGGGAGATGGTTTTCTTAATTTCATTGATGAATTAAGCCAGTTTGTGATACTTGGGTTTTGTCTAGGTGCTTTTTATTTAGTTTTTTGGTTTGGGGGGTTTTTTTGGTTTTGTTTGCTTGCTTGTTTGTTTTTAAACACTGTACAGTTGTGGAATTTGAAGCCTCCAGATTTCTGCAGGGGCAGAGACTTGCCAATCGTCTCAAAGATAAAATTTAGAATGACTTCTGCAGGAATAGTTTCAGCTGACATTTGTGCTTCTCACAACAGAGTTTGAAACAGCTGAGACACTTCTAAATTCAGAGGTTCACATGCTGCTGGAGCATCGAAAGCAACAGAATGAGAGTGCAGAGGATGAACAGGAGCTTTCTGAAGTCTTCATGAAAACTTTAAACTACACAGCTCGCTTCAGTCGTTTCAAAAACAGAGAGACCATTGCCAGTGTCCGCAGGTGAGTGCTGGAGGGAAGTTTTTATTAATCCAAACTGTTAGATACCTGCATGTAGAATGATGTCCTCCCACCACCCCCATGGCCATCCCCTGTACGATTAATGTGAGTAAAATAATGCCTTTGTCAAAAATTTAAAAATAGCTTATAAGACTGAAATCCTCCTTGGCCGCCTTTTGCCTGTATCCAGATCCCAGTTACCTCCCTGCAGAGTGACTGCTGTCAGCAGTTTGTTCTTAGGCCTCCAAAGCTTTTTCCATGCATTCTCATACATACACGTGCAGCAGAAACACACAGCATTGTTTTTGTTTGTTTGTTTTAATAAAATGGGCGTATATATTTACTATTTACCTGGTATGTCCTAGAGATCTTTATAGGTTAAGAAATATAAATCAGAAGCATTTTCTAGGTCTTGGCTTTACCTTTCGAAAGATGACCAGCTTTTAGCATTTTTTCCTGATGCATTGCCTCTCAGACTGGGTTGGATGCATCTGGTGCGGGGGCATATAGGAGGCCCCTGGGAAAAAGATTTCTTTGATTTCCTTGAAGGTGAATATTATTTCATATGAATTACATAGACATCTGAAGTTCTGTGATATAAATTGACCCATTAGGTAAGTCCATTTTATAAACTAAGTGTCATCTCTGCTAAAGTATCAGCTTTACTTGACGGTAGATGATTTAAAACATTCCTGCATTAAAGCACACAGATACCAGTATATTGTGGAGTAAAAGAAAAAATGTGTATGATTTCTTGAATAAGATCATGAGGCTTAAAACCTAGCAGTTGCAGAAAATCATTTCCACCTATTAATCCCAGGTCACTTAGAGGTACTGGTTTGCTCTACTCTGGTGAAAAAGTTTGAGAAGTACTGTCCTAAGGAAAAGCGGATGTACAAAAAGATGTATATATAAAGATATTCTTCAGAGAGCTATTTATAATGGTCAGGGGTGAAAAAAAACAACCTAACTACTCAACAGTAATAAATGTGGTAAATCCATGTGATGGACTACTATATTGTCATTTAAAATTGTGGTAGAAAATGAAATTGAAAGATGTTCACCTAAGTAGATGGGCAGCAAATGAAGTGATTACTGTATGTGAAATAGAACCTGTTCAGAAAAGTGTGGATTTTGTGTGAAGAACAGATCAGAAGGAACTGTGCAGAGCTTCCATACAAGGCTACAAACTGTTGGACCAAAAGGATGACTTGAATGCATGAAGGTAGACTTACACACATTCATGAATAAAAGGTCTTAATACTGCAAAGATGTCATTTCTCCTCAAGTCAATGTATACATGTAGTGTCATTCTAAATCCCCAAGGGAATTACACATATTCAAATATGCTCAAAACTTTGTAAGTAGGATTTTGCATGACAGTGCATTCATTGTTACACCACCTTGAACATTTGTAATTTGTTTTGTGGCTGTTACTGTTACTCTGCTGATAAAGCATAATTTCCCATATAATTCAGTTAAGATGAGGTGGTAATAGGTCATTGTAAACAAACATTGTGGCTGGGGCAAGACACTGATCACCTGAATCCTGCCTGTAAATAGTACAGTCTACCTAAATGATGCCAAGGAAAATACATCCTCAGCTGTGAAAAATAAATAATAAATAAGTGACTACCCCCTCAAATAATCTTGACTTTGTAAGAATTGTCAGAAAAAAAAAATTTAAGAAAAATGAAGGGGAATTTGCCCTACACGTTAAAAAGTGACAGTAATTAAAATGGTGACACTTTGGCGTTAGACTAGGTAAATTATTGGAACAGAATAGAAAATTCGGGAACAAATTCAAGTCCAAATCTGTTATATTTCAGATGAATCCAGTATATGGCTGAGATGGCACTGTAAGTTAGAACATATTTTAAAACGAAGTTTGGGCTCTATATACCCTATACGAAAATAATTTCTGAAGGAATTAGGATTTAAATGTAAACTATGATGTATAAAATTGCTGTGTAATAACAAGAGTGAATATATATATAATTTTGACTGTGACTTCGCATGTGGGGAAACTTGATGAACTTCAGTTGGCTGCAGGCTTTGGGAGGGCAACGACTTGGTCATATTGATCACTGTGCCAGTTTCATTGTAGGCACTAAGTAAATTTTAGTTGAATAAGTAAACCAATGTCCATAAACATCTTTAAAATTCTCTATATCAAATAAAATGCCATAGGTAAAATGTAAGTCTGAATAAACTGGGAAAAGATTGATAGCTTTAATGTTAAGAGCTCTAGCAAATAAGAAAGAGATGACACCCAATTTATAGAAATAGACTTAGTCTCTAATGACTCGATTTATATCAGAACTTCAGAAGACTGTCTAATTCATGTGAAATAATGTTCATCTGCAAGGAAATCAAAGAAATGCTAAAGTAACTATAATTAGACTTTAAAAGATTGAAAAGAATGGGAAACCTAGTGTAAGAAGTGGGAAGGAGGCACTGTCTTATTGCTGGCGGAAGTGTATACCGGTAAGGCCCGTTTAGGGCACTGTCTCTCACAAGCCTTCCAGACACTCAAATCTTTTGACTAAATAATTCTACTTCCAGGAGTTTACACACAGCAGTCAAATTCACAAAGCAGTATGCATTTACAGTGATGCTCAAAATGCATTGTTTAAAATGGTGAATAACTGGAAACAACTGAAATGTTCAATAGCAGGAGATTTGATTTGATTTATAAATTATGGCGCATCCTTTCAGTTGAACAACATGTTCAAGGTAGAGTTATGTGTGTACTAACATGGAAAACAGCAGCTGAATTGTTGAGTAACAGGAAGACCAGTTACAGGATAACATTTATGATTCCTTTTGTGTTTTAAAAAACAAAAAGGAAGGGAAAGGGCTCTCCATGAAAATGTTAACACTTGTGATTTCTGGGTAGAATTTCAGATTATTTTCACATTTTGGGTTGTGTGTTGTTTTGGGGGGGGTTGTATTTATAAATGAGCATGTGTTCATTTTACAACAAATCTCTCCATATACATACATGAGCAGAGATTCATAATGTTTATGTAACTGTTTGTGATATTTTCTTTAAAAAATGAAAATAGCTTTATTAGATGACAAAGAGTTACAAAACAAAATGATTGAGTTTGCAGTGTGGTATCGCTTCACACTGGTCAGAATGGCCATCATTAAATGTCCACGAACAATAAATGCTGGAGAGAATGCGGAGAAAAAGGAACCCTCCTACACTGTTGATAGGAATGTAGTTTGGTGCAGCCATTATGGAAAACAGTATGGAGATTCCTTTAAGAGCTAAAAATAGACTTGCCATATTACCCAGGAATCCCATTCCTGGGCATGTATCTAGAGAAAACTCTTCTTTCGAAAAGATACGTGCACCCCAGTATTCATAGTGGCACTACTTACAATAGCTAAGACATGGAAACAACCTAAATGTCCATCAACAGATGATTGGATAAAGAAGTTGTGGTGTGTGTGTATATATAATGGAATACTATTCAGACATAAAAAAGAATGAAATAATGCCATTAGCAGCAACATGGATAGACCTAGAGATTGTCATACTAAATGAAGTAAGCTAGAAAGAGAGAAAAATACCGTATGATATCACTTATATGTGGAATCAAAAAAAAAAAGATACAAATGAACTTATTTACAGACCAGAAATAGTCTCATAGACAGAAAACAAACTGTAGTTACCAAAGAAGGAAGAGAGGAGGGATAAATTGGGAGTTTAGGATTTGTAGACACTAACTACTATATATAAAATAGATAAACAACAAGGTCCTACTGTACAGCATAGGGAACTATACTCGATATCTTGTAATGGCCTGTAATGAAAAAGAATAGGAAAAGGAATATATGTGTGTATGACTGAATCACTGTGCTGTACACCAGAAGCTAACAACATTGTAAATCAACTCTGTTTCAATTAAAAAATAAAAATACAAACAAAAAAGTGATATTGTTCCCTCAATGAAATAAGTAAAATTTTAAAAAAGAATGAGGGAGTTCATATTCTAAAACAGAAAAATGTTTGGAATGGTATACTAAGATGATAATATTGATTTTGTTTAGGTAGTGATACAGGTAACACTAATTTTTCTGTCTTTCTGTATTTTCTTAATTTTGTACAGTAACTAATGTACTTGTGATCGAGTGAGAAGGACAGTAACTGTTTGTTTCTAAACAGATAAGTAAGGTCCTCTCTGAAACCAGGTTTACCACGGACAACCTCCACTGTAAGAGGTTGATGTGTGAGAATCCAAGGTGATTTGTATTAACAGTGGGGTTTTTTCCTTACAGTTTAAACCAGAAGTACATTTAGAATAAGATGCAGTTTATACATAGATTTGTGCAAAGTAAGATATGCCCATATTTATTTATTTTTTAGATACATTGAAAGGAGAATTTCCTCCAAGTCAAAATGCCTAATAGATTGGGGACATCTAACATCGTGTGTTTGATGTAAAATTAATAACCAGGGAAGCAAAGAACAGTGGTGGGAAGAGCAGAGAGTAACAAAATAAACTGTTGGTGGGGAAGGCTGTGTAGTCCTAGAGTTATGGAGCAGCTTTTCAAAAGTTACAGTCACAAGGTTCTCTGGCTTGGGGTACTCTCCCACTTTCATTGTTCCTGCCTCGTCTCCTCGTCACCTCCTGCTCTCCAGGAACAGGAGCTTGAAGTGATGTGAAAGGGGCTTCGCAGCCGGCTGAACCGTAATGGAAAGACTGCCAGTGCTTTCCTGTTTCTCTTCCCTGCCAGCTGCATTCGATCCCTCTGCCTCTTCAGCATTCCTTGATTTTGTTTGTTTGGTTTTCTTCCCTGTGATCAGCTTGTTGCTCCAGAAGAAGCTTCACAAGTTTGAGCTGGCCTGTTTGGCCAACCTTTGCCCGGAGACTGCTGAGGAGTCCAAGGCTCTGATCCCGAGGTTAGTACTGGTTGTGATAAGCCCCCTGCGATTAGGTCAGTTCTTGCAAGTAGAATGGCTGTGTCTAAAAGATGGGTAGATACCACCAGCATTGGATGAATGCCTTTGTAATGAGATTGAGGGTCTCACAGCACGCCAGCGGTTAGCAGAAACGTGGGGCAGCGGCAGCTCTGGTACAGAGGACTAGAGTGCAAATTAGGGCAGTGGCTTTGGAGAGCAATTTGGCTACATCGAGTGAAGTTAAAAAATAGATGCCAAGACCCAAAGATCCATTCCTGGGTACATGCCCTCAAAGCAGTTCATACGTAGCTTAGAAAGGAGACATGGATTCCAGCGTTTATTCCAGTGTCAGTGGTGGGAGAAACTTGACAACAACCTGCAGTCAACAAGAGAATGGATAAGTGAATCATTGTGTGATCATACAGTGTGTATTATATAACAGTGGGAAAATGAGTGAGTTAGAACAGTGTGGTATATATAACGTCAACAGATGTCAAAATGAATTTTGAATGAAAAAATTGCAGAAGGGTACACAGTAGTACGAGGCCATTTCTTATGGTTTGAAAGCAGTGCCGCATATTATAGACATGTTTCTGTATGCCGTAGTAAGAATAAAGATGTGGATAGGGATGATGAATGCCAGATTTAGGAGAGTGGTTTCTCCTGGGGCAGGAGGAGAAGGTACTGGGACGGGGCAGGGCACACACAGAACCATCAATTTGTTCTGTTTATTAAAGAATCAGGTAGGGACAACTTAAAATTTGCTTACGTTCTGTACCTTTCACATGTTTGAAATATTTCATAATGTTTTTAAAAGGAAAGGCAAGAAAGAAATAGAGTTGAAACCTACAGGTGTTGATGTTGGGGGATAAGCGGACAGTTGGGCAAGTGGTGCTCGAAGGTCAGCACACAGGAAGGAGAAGTGTGGGGGCCATCACCCATCGCCAGGACACTCACACACTTGGCTCTCTTCTTGCAGCCTGGAGGGACGGTTTGAAGACGAGGAGCTGCAGCAGATCCTTGATGATATCCAGACCAAGCGCAGCTTCCAGTATTAATCTAGAGATACCAGCCTGCTGCCAAGGGAGCCATGTCACATCCCAGCACAACACCACTGTCCCAGCGTCTGGGGCAGACTTGCAAGTCTGTGGCACAAGACACTTGGGCTTCCTTTGGGTAGAAGAACCCAGCGCTCAGTCTCCATGTGGGTTGCTATGTCCGTACTTGACTGCCGGACCGCGATGACCAGTGTGGCCTTAGGCCTTGCAGTGGCTGCCTGAGCTTGCCTTTATGAACGGTGAGGTGGGGTGATGTGCGTGTAAGCTACGCTGTGGACTGCCTCATGTGGGTCTTGGCCCTGATGTTATTTTTGATGCCTAATATTTCATGTTTTAATTTCAGTGTGTTTGTAGTTTTGAAACTATACTGGAACATATAAAACTGGCATGGGAAACAGTCTTACCTAAATGCAAAAGAAGGGATTAAACCAGACCCATGTCATTGTTTGAAATTCTTAAAGAAAAAATAATAGAGCCTTTGGCATCACTGTGTTTAACCCAAGAGACAGGGAAGAGGCGCACCAAGGAAAGCAGGTACATCTGAGGATAACTGCTGAGCGCTGAGGGGCACGTAGCCGTGAGGTGGACAAGTACTGTTCCTTGTTTTTTCTCCAGTTGTTGCAGAACATAGATTTGGAGTAAGTGGTCTTAAAGCACTTATTTTTGTCACTCTCAAATTCAGATTTTTTCCTTCCTAGGCCAGTGTGGTGAAGGTATGAGCACATTGTAGTGCCCCCTTTTGGGGCATATGGTCCAAACCTTTGGCCTGCTGCTTAGCAAGCAGATGCTGTGTGATGGGCTATTTTGGAAGCAGGGCGCCTGCCCCTTCCTGAACCCCTGTGGGGAAGTCACTTGCCCTGAGGCTGGTCGGAGGGGAGACACGTTAATAGGTCAACACTGTGGTTCTGAATTTTCTAAAGGAAAATGCGCCTGTTTTCTTCACAATTTGGAGACTTTTCCTTGAGATACTTGTTGGCTCCAACTGAATTCGTGATCCAAGGAAAAGGTTGGGGAAAGAACAAAATTGGCTTCAAAAGTCCTGGTAGTTTTATGTCAGCTGTGGCTAAGGCAATAATAACATTTTCTTATTTTTATAAATTCTTTTGATATCTGAAATGACATGGTTTCTTAGTCACCAGTATTCTTGATCAATATTTGAAGGAAATGTCGATTATAACTTAGCTAAATATTTGAAGAAATAATCTTTTCATCCTTGGGCAACTTCACTTCTTTTAGACTCATTGTTCCCTTTAGTGTAAAATGTGCATAATAGTGGTATCTATTCCATAGGTGTGTTGAAGATTGAATGAGACAATTATTAAAAAGAGCCTAGTGGGGGCTGACATTCTGTACCCCGATAAGCATCAGCTGTCGTTAGTATTGTAGTCAGTGGTATACGTCGGTAATCGGTCAGCTTACTGCAGAGAAATTCATGCAAGGATGTGATAGCATACCAAACTGTGAAAACGAGCCAGACCGCTTACTCCTTGAAGTCTGCAGTATTAAAATGTTATGAGAGAGGCAGTTACATGGTTGGCACCAAGCACTGGGACACAAACAGACCCAGATGGCAGACCTGAGTCCTGATCCAGGTGTGTGTGCCGTATGGTGAGTGCAGTGCAGTGTCACATCTTCGTTGGTGTGTCCTCTGTGAGCCAGGAGGCTGTGTGCTCCCTAAGAGTGTTAGACCATGGTAGGTACCTGGCATATAGTTAGGCACTGATAAGTGGTAGGTAGTAAGGTGACTAGAAACAAATTAAAAAAACAACTGGTGGGAAGGGTGTAGCTCAAGTGGTAGAGCGCATGCATGCTTAGCATGCATGAGGTCCTGGGTTCAATCCCCAGTACCTCCTTTAAAAATAAATAAATAAACCTAATTACCCACTCCCCCAACCCCCCCCCCAAAACCTAACAACTTATTCTAGGGAATTAGTTGTAAAAGGAACCTCATGCTGCATTACCTCATCTACACCTGCTGAACATCGCTCTCTGGAGCAGCTCCCTGTCAGCCCACAGGAGACCCTGAGGCCCTGAACGATCTTTCATCATCTGTGAAACATCGTTAGACTCACTGTACTGTTGGCAGAAGAGAATTTGGAAACATTAAAAGAAAACAAAACCTTATGTCAAAACCTCACTTCACCAGAAAGCTAACCAGACAACATTTTCTGAACATTCTAGTCATTTCAGTTTTATAAAAATTTATTAAACTTGAGTCTTGAAAACTTGAAAAGTAGCATTACTGAATGGGGCCTGAACACAAGCCATTCTTACTAGAAATGACTTTTTTAAGCTTCCTTCTAAAACCATCAAAGCCTACGCAAAGACTTGTGTGTGAATAATCCTTGCAGCATTATTCATGATAGCCAGAAACTGGGAACAATCCAAATGCCCACCAGCTGGTGAGTAGATCTTAAATGTGACATACATTTAACAGCTGTTTGTCACATTTGCTTTATCATATTTTTCTAGGAAGCATTTGAAAGCAGATAGCATGACACTTCACTGAAAACTTAAGCATACATTTTAAGATACACTTTCCTCTGTAAGTATGACTCTTGCTCTTAGGAGGAACATGGATAAGAATTTCCTGATAATTAATATTCAGATTCTGATTTCTCCTAGGGAGAGTTCTGGGCCAAAGTTCAGTCCCAGTGTTGGTATAATTTAGTATATATGAGCGATGACCATTAAGGATCTAAACTGACACTTGTGAAAAATGTTGAAGAAATACATGTGGTTACTGCCTGCAAGTTGCTGTGAGGAGCTCTGACTGGATGAAAATAATGTTTGCAACCCTTAGGTGGAAAATGTCGTGGGGTGCAGGTCCAAAACAGTGAGCAGTAACGTGTCTGCATGTGGCTCTCCATCTGTTCCTTCAGCAGCAGGAGGGCAGGTGGGACTAAACAGAACGGGTGAGTGGTGACAGCAGAGTGCAGGCAGGTCTGTCTAGACGCCATCAACCTGGAGTTGCGTGTGCCTGGCTTCCCTCTGCTGAGCACACAGGAGATGCTTAGTAGTCAGTGACGAGTAAATACACTGCCCCATTTTCAGAAGGTCGGCACAGAGTGCAGGGGATCAAGAATGTCCCTGAAATAATAAAACTGGAGGAGAGGGCTTCTTGAGACAGAGTAGAGGTGCCCAGAAGACAGCTGGGAATGTTGGGAGATAATAAAGGCAAAGCTGTCCGATAGAATTTTCTGCAAGATAGAAATACCGTCTCTGCACTGTCCGGTGTGACGGCTGCTAGTCACAGGTGGCCTTTGAGCACTTGTCACTTGAGGATCCGAACTTTAAATTTTGTTTAATTTTTAAATTTAAAATTTGAAATTGTCACATGTACTAGTGGCTGCTATATTGGACAGCACAGTTCTTAGGTCCTAGTACAAATGTCCTGCAAGCTGTGGACATCAGAGAGCACTTCAGCAAGACTGACAATGCTTACGAGACCAGCAGTAACAGTGGGGAACCATTAATCAAAATTCGGTCCCCAGCGTTAAGGTCTAAATATGTATATCACTTTCTGTACATCATTGAGTCCAATTTTTATGTATAACACAAATTCTGGTTTTAAATACCTGCCTTGCTGCTACTAATGCTTGTAGACAAAATTTTGGACGCTGTTTTTGTTTTGTTTGGGCAAGGGGAGTAATTCGGCTTATTTATCTATTTATTTCTAATTGGAGGTACTGGGGATTGAACCCAGGACCTCATGCACACTAAGCATGCACTCTACCACTGAGTTATACTCTACCCTCTATGGAGGCTGTTTTAAGGAAATATTTAGAAATAGTGAAAAGATTAATACCTCATCTTTTGGTGAGAACCTCTTTCCTAATTAAGTTTGCCTTTTCAGTAGGCTGGTAACTTGTATATTGAATTATAAAAAGAAACGCCAAGATTTATTATCTTTTAAGGCTAGCAATACTTGTATTTTATAATTCTGCTAATAAATGTGGTCCAGGCACAGTATACTGCCAGATTCATGGACTGATGCCCTAAATTCAGACCAGCCTTTATCTCCAGAGCCATATCAGCACCAGCCTGTGGCCGCACACGTCCTAAATACATTCTCCTCTTTAATAGAGAACTTACCAGTTCATATTCAAAGATGATTTACTTTAGGAGATATTTGAAAAGCAGTACTTTCTCAACTTAGTGATAGAAGAAATTTAAATATGAAAGACATTACAAAAAATTTTAAATTATGTAAAATCACTAACTTGGAAAGGCAATTGACAGACTGGTAAAATTTATAGCAGAGAAGAGGGGAGGGTATAGCTCGAGTGGTAGATCGCATGCTTAGCATGCACAAGGTCCTGGGTTCAATTCCAGGTACCTCCTCTAAAAATAAATAAAGCTAACTCTCCCCCACCCAAAATTTGTAGCAGAGAAGATGGGCAAAGGGTAAAGATGTTTATTTTATAAAAGTTTTAAAAAATAAATTTTAAAATATTAAGACCCCAATTTCAAAAAGGGCAAAGGATATCAACATAAGTTACACCCAAGTAACAAATAAATGGGGAAATGTTCAACCTAATTAGTTTTCAGAGGTATTTAAAATGAGGTGGTGCATTAGAAAAAATTTACAGAAGAAGAATGTATTGGCATACAGGGAGCAACTTAATTGTGTCCAGTGCTACTCTGCACACACGATACAGAAACAAGGCAGGATGACTCACAGAGCCTCAGTGGTATACAGAAAGAGAAAACATACTTCCTGTTCACCATGCTCTTCCATCTGAGCTGTTTTCTATTTCCAGTCTTCCAGTGGAGTGAGTGTCAGTGCCTCACCTTCCTTGTACATATTGGGAGTTACACCTTCCTTATATTTTCAGTGGTTACCCTTAGAATGTTAACACTCATAATTGTCTTCATAAAGGCTTTAGAGTGTGGTGTTAGTTTCAGGTGTACAGCAAAGTGATTCAGTTATACATATATGTGTATTTTTCAGATTCTTTTCCATTACAGGTTATTACAAGATACTGAATGTAGTTCCCTGTGCTATACTGTAGGACCTTGTTGTTCACTGTTTTATATATAGTAGTGTGTGTATATTAATCCCAAACTCCTAATTTATCCCTCCCCCCGCCCCTTTCCCCTTTGATAACCATAGTTCATTTGCTATGTCTGAAAGTCTATTTCCAGTTTGTAGATGTTCATTTGTGTCCTTTTTTTTTCACTTTTCCACGTATAAGTGATATCAGAAGATATTTGTTTGACTTTACTTAATATAATAATCTCTTAACATCTATGTTGCTGCGATTGGCATTTTATTCTTTTTTATGGCTGAGGAGTATTCCAGTATATAAATATACTACAGCTTTATCCAGTCATCTTTCGATGGACATTTAGGTTGCTTCGATGTCTTAGCTATTGTAAATAATGCTGCTATGAACATTGGGGTGCATGTATCTTTTCAAGTTAGCGTTTACTCTGGATATATGCCCAGGAATGGGGCTGCTGGGTCATATGGTAACTCTACTTGTTTTTTAAGGAACCTCCTTTCTGCTCTCCATAGTGGCTGCGTAAATTTACATTCCCACCAACAGTGTTAGGAGGGTTCCTTTTTCTCTCAGCCTCTCCATCTTTTATTATTTGTAGACTTTTTAATAATGGCCATTCTGACTCGTGTGAGGTGATACCTCATTGCAGTTTCGGTTTGCATTTCTCTTATAATTAGCAAAATTGAGCATCTTTTCATGTAATTTTTGGGCATCTGTATGTTTTCCTTATTTCAATAACTGTAGTTTTCTATTTCATTATTTTCAACTTAATATTTTCCAGGTCAGCCTGTTATTTTTTCATCATATCTTCTATTACGTCTTTTATAGTTTAAAACATTTGTTTCATATTCTCTTTCAGGCTGATCTTGTTCTCCATATATTTTATAAGCATTTTGATCTTTCCTGGGGATTAGTTTTACTGTGGAAATGTGCCTACGTTTGTAGGAGTGTTTCTACAGTGGGGTCTGCCCTTCTCCCAGGCCTGTAGTATCAGTGGCCCAGAAATATTTCTTCCAATGATTTCTCAGGTTTGAATTCAAACCCACATGTGGCACAAGTTTCAGGTTTTGGCTTCTCAGAAGAGCCTTTTTTTAACCTGAAACCTTGAATACTGACAAGCATCCTTGTCTTCCTGGGCCTTGGCAGAGCCCACCTTTCACTGAGGGGACAGCCCTTCAATTTCCTGGCTTTCCGCAGGGGCTCAGTGCGAATTTCCTGCGAGCCCTGTCCCGAGAGCCCACCTCGGGGGATAAACTGAGCCTCAGGCCAGTCAGACCTGATACCACCTCGCTGACTCCCACCAGGGTTGCTGTAGCATCGCTTGGAACTTTGCCATTCTGGCTTTTAGTTCCCAATATGCTTCTTGCCGCTGGAGATTTCCTTGCTTTCCTGGATGCTCAGTTGTACAATAGCTCTCTTACTTTTATTTTTTAATTTTTGGTTGTGGTGGTGGGTGGTGCCAGGCATGTAAACACATACATGAGATAATTTAACATCCCACCCATCGTCCTTCCACAGCTCAGCCACAGTGATCTCAAGGTTCCAGAAACCAGCCAGCGCTGCCTGTCTTGAGCAGAGCGTGCTGCTCCCCCTGTTTAGAACGTCCTTGCCTTCTTGTCCACTCAGCAGATGGTTTCTAGTCCTTCAAGGCTCTGCTTAGCCTTCCTCTGCTCTACCTGAGCTCCTTGAGCTCCCTGCAGATTCAGCTGCTAATGCTTTCCGTTCGCATCTCAGTTGTGTTCCGCACGGCCTTCGTGAGTTGGATAAATGCACACTGAACGCCTGTCGGCCCTCTGACAGGGTTCCAGGCTCGAAGGACACAGGGATGAGCAAGTCCAACGAAGTCCATTCAGGAAGCGTACATCCAGTAAGGGGAAAGAGGACCATTTCCGGTTGTGATGAATGTGAGAAAAGAAAACGGATAACAACCGAGGGGCTGAGAGGACTCATTTAAGTTGCTTGGTCAGAGGCTTCTCTGAGGAGGCCCAAAAGATGAGTGAGACACAGCCCTGTGAAGTCGGGGTGGAACCTGCAGGGTGGAGGGAATACAAAGTGGAATGGCCCTAAGGTGGGGATGAGCTTGGAAGGAACGGGAAAGGGCGTGGGCCTGGGGGCCGTGTGTAAGTGTAGGGCAAGGTTATGGGAGTCTGGGTGAAGGGAACAACTCTGGAGCAGGAGCTGGCAGGGGACAGGGGGGTCAAGAGAGGCTCCTCCTGGAACAG